AGCATCAGTTAGCAGCAACAGGTAACTTTGAGCTCAGTGTTTCTCATTTTGCATCTATAGTTTAAAGTTTCTGATACTTCCATGGAATACTCTGCACTTACTCTGCACTTTTTTTCTACATTAAATGCAATCTTCTAGTTCGTAAGTCTTGAAATCTATTAATTTGGGATCATCTGCCAGTTTCACTAGTTTGGTAGCTGATAGATCACTGATATAAATGAAGAAGAGCAGTTTTCCTAATACAGATCCCTGAAGTACGCCAATAATTACACCACACCTTATACAGCATGTACTCTCTGTGTTCTACCCATTAAACAGTTCTTAATCCAAACAACTAGCTCACATTGAATGGTTATCTGATACTTAATCTTTTATGGGGAATTTTGAAAAAATAATTTAGTTAAAAAAATCTAACAATACTTTTATTACCTACTCTTTGTGCACCCATTACTATTGTTGCTTGTTCAAAGTACTCTTAATAAATTAGGTAAGCAAGACCTACCTTTCCTAAAACCGTGAATACTTTCCTCTACGGTCCTATTTCCATTTCCAGTTCCATATACAGTAAATGATTTAGATAGCTAGATGACTAGTTGGTTTATTTCTAATTATTTCTTCCATAACTTGACACATAAATAAATATGATTTATTGGTCTTAGGTTTTACCACACTTTGTGGGAATGGGTAGTACATAAACACATTTCCAATTGATGGGTATTAATTCTGTTTTAAGCAACTGTAGGAAGAGCTTCTTAAAAGGCTTATGGAGAGCATTCTTTGATTCCTTAAGGACAAACAGCAACAACCCCAGGAGATGTGCTTATCTTAAGTGATCCTGATACCTCCTGTAACAAGTCTGTCTCTTGTAGTACTATAGTGCTAGTACAATTTAATGTCGATTTGTGTCGAAGAGTGGTATTTTCAGAGTTATCATACTATTCTTACTACTATGTTGTCACAGGATGAAAAACAGAAAGTTTTTCTGCTTTCTGCTTTTCATGACAGTTTTTCTAGATTATGTTAACTTTAATTATCACCGACACAATTACTCAAGATGTTTGTAAAAAATACAAAAAGAAATTCACCAAGAAATGATTGCTGTTTCTTGGATTTGCTTTTTGTAAATTATAGTTCTTTTAGGATAATGTATAAACTGCTCAAAACTGAATTTTTCTAATGAGACGCAAAGGGAATTTCTTTTACCGATTTATTAATTTCAGTTTTTTTAGTGATTAAATAACTTTTTGAAATTAATTTCTCCAGAGGCTTCCTCAAATCTAAATTCCAAATTAATCCTAAAACTGCTTACCTAGGGGTTAATGTTAATCAAATATTGCAAACGTCTTTAAATAACTGCATATCCAGTAGTGCAATCCTTAATTTCCTGTGATGAAAGGTGGCAATAATTTTTAAAGGTGGCAATACAGCTGTTCAATCATGAGGTTTATTCAACTTGTATGCTAGACTTCATGAGGCAGCAAAAGATTAAATGATGATAAGATGAAAAAAAGGAACCGCATATTAATTGCTGCAACAGATTTGGATTTAAGATGTAAATAAATGTTTTACAGTATACGCTTTTCTTTTGGTTTGAAAAAACATTTGGGATTACACCAACTATACTATAATGTTCCCACCGTAATGTTAGTTATTTCCTTGTATCTCCTTTTTACTATATTTTATTGATTCGCTTATTTTTAGGAGGTGTTAATTTGGTTAGGCTATTTCACTCCACCATGCATAAAACTGATGTTTATCTGATCTGTTAAGAACTATGAACTTTGGCTTGGTTTAGATCAATCATTAGACCTATATCTTTCAACTATAGTAGGTATAAAGTAAGAAAATGAACTAGGTATGAAAATAAATTCACCACAGTTAGAAAAAAGGGGCCTTTTCTAAATACTGTAAGCTGTTTTGTCCATTAAATTGTTTTGTTTCTTTGACCTCTTGTTTTTGGTCAAGAAAATTAATTTTAGAAGGGTAGTCTGCATAGGAATAAAGAAATATTGTTATTTTGTGGATGAAGGAATGGTTAGCTGGAGAACAGCCCTCATTCCACAGAAAATACTAATAAAAGGGAATAACAGGTTTTATAATATCAACTTTGGAGTAGTTTTTATTTTTCCACTGTTTTTGCCCTGGGGTAACTCTTCTGTTTTTTAAAACCAAGCTTTTGGAGTTGGGCTTAACTAATTTTTTGAAAGGTTATCATAGGCAGCATAGTATACAATTCCTCATCTTCCTGTGGGAAAAAAACTAACGATTGAAATTTACAAAAGAATGGCTGCTTCTGAAAGTTATTTGAATTGCCTGATTAAATGAGACTGAAATACAGTTACATTAAGGGTAAAACAGATATATTGCATGCTAAAATGCACATCCAAATGTGCGAACTTTGACATTCAGGTAATCAGGAGAGAACAAAAATGCTTTTGCACTGCCCTGCCACATATTTGAAAGCTCGGAAGTTGTTAAGAGCTGTCTATTTGAGGAAACGCGGTTTTCACTTCCCACATGAAGCAAACACTTAAAAGCAGTTTCGTCATTGTTCTTAATGGTCAGGAACGTAATGTTCTGGCAGCAGGTTGGAGCTTCCGGAAGCGATTAAGCCCTTCGTCAGAAAACAAATTACCCCTATTGTTATGGTAATACTCTTAAAACTTGCATCCAGTTGGATCTGTGTAATTGAGAAAATACTCAAGAGTTCCCCATTTGCAAAGACCTCTCTTGACCCCTCGTGTGTTAATTATTCAAAATTAACACCTGATTGTCCGGTATTTAATTGAAAAGGTTTTCAATGATGCTTTAGCCTCGAAGGCTGTAACGGGTTCTAACAAGCTCAGGATGCCTAAGTGATCACTCCAGCTCCTGGGTGAGAGCACAGGAAGAGCCTCACTGGCACCTTTCTGCAAGCACAGCTGTATTTGGAAAGCAGGGGTGGCACATTATCTTCCATTCTCCTTCAGTATAATTATTTAAAGCTTCATCTTATTCTGGCCCAGGTGGGAGAACAATAGAGCCTGTGTTCAGCACAGTTGTTGAACACTGTATTCACATTGTTGCTTTTAAGGAGTACGATCTTGCAATTAGTATTTTTCTTTATTGTTGTGTAATTGTATAAATGTTCTGGCATTGAATAGATTCCCAGGACTGGTCTTAAATAATGTGCAGTTCCACATTTCTAAACATAAAACTTGTCTCGAGTTCAATGAAATATAAACTGAGTTGGTAAAATTCCTTTTTATTATCATTATTTTATTCTTGATTTACCCTGATTGAGGTCACTTGAAGATTGAAAAAGTAACTTGGGCTGAGCAAGTTTATTTTTGGTATGTAAGATATGTTGCAGGTATTGATAAAGATGTGTTTCATTGCTTACAGCTGGCTTTACCTGTAACTACTGTATTGTATGTGCAAATAAGAGGTATCATGTCTTACTTCACTGATAGAAAAAGTGGGATAGTGAGGCTCAGGAATAGAAATAAGAGAAAACTGGAAAACAAATCAACAAGGATAAACTGGCTTTGAATCTCTCAATGAATAAACAGTGCACTTCATTTTCTTTGTAAGGTAGCCCTCCGTGGTCACTTGACTGATCAGTCAATGAGACTTTCTCATGCCTCTAAATCAGCCAATTAACCCACTGCTGTCAGTCAAAATGCAGCCCATTAATAAGGCAGGCAAAGGCCACTTCCCTTATTTCATGGGATAGTTCTTACCTTAATTGAAGTCTGTAGGGGAGGATTTTCATATGTAGTGCATTTGCTTTCCCATTTCATGTTGCAGCTCCCCATGATTATACCTGCCTGCTAAAGCCTATTAGATTATATATCTGTATATACTGTACCTTCACAACACCTCTGCTATAGCTCTCAGCATTACTGCAACGTGCACGCCTCCTAAAAGCATTTCTCATCCTCTTCATTCTCTCTTCAGAATAGCAGCCCTGACAACCTGCACACACTCTCCTGCATTGCTGCCCCCCAAATACCTGAGAC